TTTTTGCGTTGACCTTATCACGACACTCCAACAATCGTCTCTCACTTCATTAAGTCGCATTGCATGGCGACCAGCAATTCGCAATCCCTTACCCCCACAAAGCTGTGTGCTCGAAAAGTGAATAAAACAGGAAAATGTGTACTTTGTCGTCCATCAAAGTAGCCTCCAGAAATGTCCCTTTTTAGTGAAAATAGAAATAAAGTTTCTAGTAGCCTTACGTAATCCACCACTCTTGCTACACAATTCATGCATAAAATTATAAGCAAATTGAAACAAATCATCGAAAGGTTAAAAGAAAAAGAAAACCTGTTATGCATTTTCGTTAAATTGTAGCGGACACATGCGCCCTTTCTTGGAATTTTATTTCACATTTTTACTATGAAAAAAAAAAAAAACATTCGCATGTAAATGAAAATAATTGGCGGAAAAGGATCAAATTGGATTTACACTTGTAAGAATATAACAACGCTGATTTTATTGACTTAGAAAACGTGCCTATTGGCCAAAAACGGAATGGGAAATATCGGATGCATTACGTATTGTTATCTGGCGAAAATATTTACATATACATACATAGTTAACTAAGCAGCTAACAAAAAAGTTTTGTTTTTTGTTTATTTTACAAAAAAAAAAAAAACGCCCGCAAGGTAATGTACTCTGCCTGCTGGGCCATATTGAGTGATACAAAAAAAATTATTGGCAGAGGATCGAAGTTTTATAGATGGAGATTTTGCAATTTCGGCTGAATATTTAAATACATGAAACGACTGAATGTGAATAAATTCGACTGAAAACGAAAATTAGTGATCGTATGGGCCTTGAAGCTCCACTGCCTTCAATAGACATTTGATGCTTTTTTCTTTGACAGGAGCTTAGCATTATAGACAGTTTTTCGTTTACTTATTCCAGTTTTGTTCCAATTGTGTATTGCTCCAATTATTGCGCTTAATTTATATTATTTCGCTTATGCTTGAAGTGAACATAGAAAATATATTTTTTTTTCTTTGGGTCAAAAATAATGACAATTTTGCATAAATACATACTAGGGATGTAAATCCCGGGATACCAGCCTTTTTAAGTCCCAAAAATCTCGGGATCCTTGGCGAATAATGATTTGTAATTTACAATGGTAGAAATTTACAGTTTTACACACACAAAAATCAATACATTCGCGAAGCCATGGGCCAAATATATGCAGTAAAATTGCGTTTTTAGTTTTTCTCTCTGACGTCAGGATTTTTTAAAATTACTTTGAAAATTGAATAATATGAGTAATTCAGAAAATAATTTTAAAAATTCAGTGCACTAGACTTAGGCCGAAAACATATGGGAGCGGCGAGCAAAGAGCATCGAGCCAAACGTCGATTTCAAACGCATATGTTTCAATGGGAGAGCGAGCAAGTGAAGAGCAAAGCGTACACAAACTTTCTTCATTGAAGCTTTGCTCGTTGACCCTTAGAAAAACATTATGGGTGTTAACTTAAAGAAAAAATTATTTGTTAAAGACAAATATAATTAATTAATTAATTAATCCCAACGGCTTTATACCCTCCATTCCCATCCAGCCGACACGAGGGGCGCCGTCCGCATGACGTACGGAACCTTTTTTTTTTTTGTTAGTTTTTTGGTGCCGAGTAGTGGAAACAGGAGTTTGTTAAGTGTCGAGATCTACAACTATTCAGCTACAGAATCAAATAATCAAATTCATCAGCTGATTGGATATGCTAAAGATAGTATTTCAATTATTGAGAGTGAAAATTATAGTTTTGTTTATAGTAAAAATCGAGTCCGATATATCACACGTGCTTCTAACTTATTTAACTCCCTCTTTTGCTAACGCTTCAATTTAATTAATTTATTTTGTCATGTTCTCTCCCCGCACATGCACCTATAGGCATACAAAATTCGGTTAGCAACTCTGCGCTTTGTGCCATTTTGCATCTTCTGCGCATTTTTAATGCCTTCCGCTGCTTCCCTTTTTAATTTGCAAGTATCTTCTCTGATGATATCGTTTGTGTTTTTTTGTTTCTCATTCGCATGTATTTATTTTAATTTTTGTGTTTGTCTTTCGGCGCTCCTTCTGCTATTAAAATTGCGTAATTAAAAATCCATAAAAATCTACGCATTCGCAATGTTGTCCTTTTTAATTTATTTGCCCCATAATAAAACTTTTTTTCTTTTATTTGCTCCACTTGATTGTTGTTTTTTTTTTTTTATAGAGCAGTGTGGTGTGATACGAAAGTATTTTATTTTTGCTGCTATTCAATCAATGACTATCAACTGGGTATAAGTATGTATATATTTATCACGACCTGCTATTACTTTTTTTTAACCTTTTTCCTGTTGTTTTGCCAATATATTATTTTTGTTTCCTTTATGCAAATCAAAAGGAAATTAAAAGTCTACCTTCAGCACGCCTTTTATGCCTTGCTGTCGACATGCGCTTAACCTTAATCGGCAGTTTATTGCGGAAGAACAAAAATATTTATATACCTAAACATTTTTTTGCTTCTTATTTTAACTGATCACATTTGAAAATAATTTTCAGCAAAAATGTTAGATTTTGTCTTATAGTATAACGCTTTAATTAAAGACTGGATGCTTACAAATGCAATACTTTTTAACGTAGGTGGGCTCTTTGATGATAAATTTGAAAATGGTCAGGGAATGCCTGACTTCTGTCTCAATCATATAAGATAATTTTGCTATCAAGCTATTTCAGTTCAAGGTCATAGCAACATGCCAGTAACAGCTAAGTATTTAAGATAGGCATAAGGCCGAGCAGCCTTAAAAAAATGGCATTCTAGGCAGACGGGCTTTTAGACAGCTCACCTGTAATCCAAAAGTGCGCCAAAAAAATTCGAAGCCTTTAAAAATGATTCGCAATTTCATACCAGGTGGTCGTCGATGTCGATAATTACGTTGTCAGCATTCCAAAATTCAAAATGGCGGATCCAATATGGCGTCTGGTCATGCGAAAACTTTGAAAGTTTTTCTGCGTTCCAAAAGTACAAGTTTTAAGGGGCTGCAAAATGCCGTTGATTTGTGAACTTTTTTTCTTAATAATGTCAGTAATTTTCTGCAACAACTTCAACAAAAAAAGGCAATCTTTAACATCTTATGCGTATATTTACACAGATTCGAATAAAATCGTTTTAAGCTTTTCTCGTAGGCACCTTACGGCGTAACATACGCATATTCATTGGCCCGTAACACAATTAATTGCTTAAAGCTCACACTAATTAACCTTCAGGCAGGCAGACAAATAAAATATGCAACCCACACACACACACATATTAAATGCTCGTTCATTAATGTCTGCAATATGAGCTGATGTAATGATAAAAATATGTGGCAGTGGTTAAAAAAATATTACGAGAAAGAAAAATAAAAAAATTGCATATGGCTCATTCCATGCAACATTTACACCTAAATATTTTTTTTTTTTTGTGGTGAGATAATTTTTTTTTACATTCTTTATTGCAAAAAAGAAGACACTTGTTTTTTTATTTCCTCATAATTTTCGAAAATCTCGAAAACAAATTTTCGCAATTTTGAACTCACAGAGAAGCATCTTTTTAAATTTTTTTTTTGCAGTTCTTAAATAATGTTTTGTAATAAAAAATAGCACTTTTTTTCAATATTTTTTTTATAAATTATAAAGCGTTTGAATTTTGCTTTTTTTTTGCAATCTAAACAGTTGTGAAACTTTATGGAGAACACTGTAACAATTTCAGAGTGAAACAATCGTAACTTCTACAGTTTTTGTTTTTACATTCTCAAATTTTTACAGTGCACTTCATAAACTTTCACAACTAGTTAGATTACAAAAAAAAAAAAAAAACAAAACAAAAATTAAACCGAGTCTAATTAATAAAAAAAAAATTATTTTGATTTATCTCAAACTCTAATGGAAAGCACATTTTGACTACTTAACTGATTTTCGCCAACTAGTTTACTAACTGCAAAAAAATTTAAAAAAAGATAAGTATTTCTCTGTAAGCTCAAATTTTCGAAACTTTTTTTCGAGATTTTCTAGTCTTATGACGAAGTAAAAAAAAAATAGGTGTACTCTTTTTCCGATAAAAAATGTAAAAAAAATATTTCACACAAAAAAAATAGGTGTAAATTTTGCATGGAATGACCCATATGCAGAAAAATTAATAACGTGTGAGCAATTTCATAGACCGCTGCGTATTTAAGCGGAAGTGTCACAAAATGTGTAGGTACATTGCTACAAAGGTACATAAGTACATATGTACATTAGACCGCAGCAGAAAAAGAATTCGCTTACTTCTTCGATACCAAAGTATTTTTGCAGGGCATTTTTTTCTTGCTAAGTGGTACGATCTAATATGGTACATAGGTTAGTACACGTACTTATAGACGCAGATGAACGGATGTAGCTGAATGTGCTAAAAAAAAAATAAAAATAATTATAATAAAATAAGCGTAAAATTTCAAAAACAAAAAACCGTTTTCGTGATACAGCCGCGTGGCTGCTTTGGAAAAGTGTGCGGTGTGGCGTGAATTAATCAGCTGAGCGAAATCTGTGGCATGTGGCAGCACACTGCCACAGGTATCGCTTTGTTTGCTGGCTGTAATTAAATGTCAACATTTACGTGAAATTCGATGAAATGTTGCAAAAATAAGTAAACTTGCTGTTGGCATTTTTACAATTTTTCTCTGGTTTTGTGGGCAGTTTTTATATAAACTGTCGCCACTGCTAAAAATAAGCTCGTAAATGAGCGCGCTTCATAAAATTATAGACACATAAAATTAGTGATGATAATGAGTGACGTAATTCGCATATTATATGCACTTGTATTTTTATTTAAAAAAAAAAACACGATTTATGTGTGAAAAAAGTGTTAACTACAATTTAATTACTTTATGTACATTTGCGCATTATAAATTTTCAATTAACTTTTCATAATGTTTGCTTATTAGCCATATGCTTTCACACATTGATTTTGGTTTTTCTCTTGCCTCTCCTACAGGATATGACATGTGATGGTGTTGTAACATTTTGGATATTTTTACTACTTTCATTGATTTTACACAACGCCGATTTGACGAACGGCGGTCGCCCCGATGAACTGCATATAGGCGGCATATTTCCCATAGCCGGCACAGGAGGATGGCAGGGTGGACAGGCGTGTATGCCAGCAGCAAGACTGGCATTGGATGATGTCAACAAGGAACCGAATTTGTTGCCGGGCTTCAAGCTCATACTGCACAGCAACGACAGTGAGGTAAGTGAGTGAATGAGAGGAGATTGTTTTTGGCCCGAAGAGGGCTTGAATACTTTAGGCTTTAATTAAAAATCTTTGACTTATTAAAATATGCTCAGTGTGGCTAGATCGCTGTAAAATATTCAATCAAATCATACAAGTCGGCTATAAAATATAATAACAGAACAACGAACACTTAGTTTATGGAGAAGTGAGAAGAGTTCAATTAGGCGAGTTCACAAGGCAGCGAGCTCAGTTCTGGAATATTCCGGCTGGAACGTTTTCATTTTTTAGACTCCAAAATTTAGAGGATCAAAGTTTTGGGGAGCCACAAGTTATTTAAACTTGTTAATGTTACAAGTTACTGGCACTCCAAATTATGCATCAAGCTGTCTCAGCCTTATCAGAGGTTTACTGAAAACCACAAAATTTCTAGCGCCCAGATGAGCCTATTTCCTAAAAGTGGCTCGGATATTGTCGATGCGAACGTGTTAAGCTTTTGCACCCACCTTCCAAAAAAAAATGATACATGAAATGCCTCATTTAATCCAAAATATACAAAATATGTATAGGTACATATATACGAAGTTACATAAATAAGAACTCTGCAAAATATAGCGCCCTTGCAAATAGCATTCAATTGTATGGCAATTACGTACAATTCTCATTTGTATTTGTCAGTGTGTGTTTACGATTTTATGGCAAGAAACAATTCATTTTCAGAGCAGCAAAAATATGTTGAAAATGCTGTGCAAAAAGAAGTTTACCAACTAAGTGGATATTTATAGGCATTTTGGGCTTAATTGCATTTTAATTGGTTTTTAAATAGTCCAGTAAATGCACAAAGGATAATTCGTTTGCAATTTAAATGTTCGAAAGCATAAAAGGGGCCATAAGCAAATATTTTTCTTGTATTACGCAATACTGTTAGCGTAAGCAGAATGGATATATATAGCTGCATACACACATACAGACATACATATTTATGTACATAAGGAATGTATTAATGGAGTTAATGAATTATAAATAACTATGTATATATGATAGGTAAAGGCTGTTGCAGTTGAAACAAAAAACAGAAATTATTAGTAGTTCAGAAATCAAATTGCTACGCAGAAGTAGTGCAACCTCAAGTCCATTGCCAAGTTTAATGATTGTGAAAAATAGCACATGGAGTAAATGCAATGTACAAGTATATACATTAGGGTGGGGCATTTATTTTTTTTACTATGCGCGTATATCTTAGCTAGATTCTATGTGTAATTCTAAGCACATTTTCCGAAGAAACCATGGTACTAAAATTAATTTAGAGTTCACTCTAAAAAATCTGTTTAAAAATGCGACTATAAATCGAGTATATTTTTGTTTATTTTTAAAAAATTTTGGTAAATTTACACGATGAATATGTATAGTTCTCGCTTACACATCTTCGTGTGTAAAAATCCTTTTTGTTAGCAGCTTTACACAATTCTACGGGTGAAATCAAACAGCAAATATGTATTTTGTAGCTTGTACACACTTTCCTAGTAAATTTACGCACACCACAGCAGCTATTTTACACTCTAAAAAGTCCGAGATTTAAACAAACTATTCGTTGAACAATCGTGCATGTAATTTCGCGAATAATAAGGTAGGAAATGAGTAACCTACCTTTTAGCTAGGAAATCTACACAATTTTTTTTTAGAGTGTTGCCAAATGCGAACACAGTTTCGAAGAAAATGGGAAAATTTTCACGGTTGCGGTCTCTGGTGGAAGTTTTATGAAAACTATAAGTGCAGAAATGGATATTTCATACCAAAAAACCGCTTATAGCATGTTTTTATACGAAATTTAAGCACTACGACACTACTGCAATTTAGCAAACTCCAAATTGATTTTAGACCCAAGGTTTCTTCGGCAAATTTGCTTTGTAGAATCCTTCTGTGCTATACGCGCATAGTTGCAAAAATCACCCATAGATACAAATTGACCCCTACTAATATACATACTTTGTAACCGCCATGTTATCTTTAGAAGAGAGAGTGTCTTATGTAGGTATTGGCTTCATTAGATAGGAACATTTTTAATAAGAGGAAAATGTGTTTGAGCTCTATTTCTTTTGTGCCAATTCACATGAATTGTTTTGCAAGAGCTGCCTTACAAAAGTCTGATTTCGATACAGTATATGATCCCGTCATTAGGCTGTTTTGGTACATAGGGACTGTGGGAATGGAGCTAGCCTTGACATTGACAAAATGCGTCAGCTTTCCCTGAAAAACGCTCGCAAAGTCCAACTCCCAGAGATTCAGAGGACCGTTGGTCTATAGATAATATATTCGCGCATCGCACTGTGGAGCAAAAAATATGACCCAAGACAAATTTATTTTGATAGCCCCTAGGGTCTTCCTTACGTCAAGTGCCAACTTGGGCCTGCAGTTTGATAACGACGCACAGTGGGACAAAATACATGGTCGTGGACAAATTGGTTCTGGGAGCCCAAATCTGACCGATCTCAAGTTTCTTTTTGAAATTTTTGGCCATTTTTGAACAAGCTCCAATTTTTTATTTAGTTATTTTGAAAAATGAAACAAAAAAATTTTACGTTGTTATGCCATCACCTTTTTGAACAAAAAAAAAAAAACTTGAAATTATTGCCAAATGTCTGCAAGATTGTTCATAAAATATTTAAAAACTAAAAAAAAATTTATTTATGGGATAGATGTTTTATTAAATTTGCTATTGACAAATATTTACATATAGTTTGTTTTACTCAACAATTTTATTGAGCTTAAGACCGCTTTTTGAAGAAAAATGGTGTGGAAAAACAACAATAATTTATAGCTGCTATCTCCACGTCTCCTCATCAAACTTCTTTATGGCGGCAGTTTGGATATGAACCAGCGACCTCGGATTACAAAGCCAGTGGCCTACACACTAAACTAGGTTCGCCACGTAAACTGTTGTTGCTTTTTCCACTTTTTCATATGTCTGCCCAACTGTATTGTTTTTTTAAATTGACAAGATGGAAGCAATTACCTTTTATAGAGAAAGAAATGATCTGTTATACATACTAAGGCAATTTCAAAAAATTAATAATATTTTATTTTGTTTATTTATTTATTTTAATTAAATATTTTTTAATGAAAAACTTACATTTTTTTTAAATTAATTCAGTCCTATGAAAAAAATTTAGAAAAGTACCTTGAAATTGGCTCAGATTTGGGCTCTCAAAAATTTATTTGCCCACTGCCATTTGGTTTGCTTCACTGTGCGTTGTTATAAAACCCTCGGCCCCAGCCTTTTGAGGAGCAAGCGAAACTGCTGTGTACATTCAAGCTGGCTGTCCGTAGCATTTTTACTCGAAGAGAATGTTACTGAATTTTTTTATTTACAGCACTTTGCTGCATTTTCAGCTGCAAGTACTTAAGTCCAGTGGGGCAAATATTGGCTGAAGTACCTGAAAAGCAGCCAGTGACAATTCAGTGAATGAACTGCCGGTAGCTCGACAGGCGAAAAGTTGTTATGGCAAATGAAGTGGAATGAACTGAGTCTATGGCAGAGCTACTTAAAATAAGTAGAAATTGAATAGATGTTGCTGCACTCACCTGCTCTAACTCTATCAAAGCGATGGCATGCTTCTTTGGGTGGCAGTTGACGCCATATACTTTGCTGGCGCTTTGTCAACGCTTTGTCAAATAAATTTTAAGGTGTATTTCCCACATACACACCTGCATGTGCAGCATAAGCTTTGTGTCTGTACTTTAAACACATAAAATACATTAGATAATTTCCCCAAAGACCAGCTGCCAGCAGTCAATGTTAGCAAAAAAAAAAAAAAAACAATTACAAAAGAAAAAGAAAACAAAGCAATGATAGAGGACAACAAACGCAGAAAATTGCAGTGTAGCCAAGTATGTATGTATGTATATACCGGACATTGGCAAAAATCGACAATGCCCACGCAGCCAACTACAAACATACAAATATGCATGAACTGAAATATAGTCTACTTTGCGGCTGACTGGCCACTTATTTATTCGTTTAATGGTTAGTTGTACGCCATAGTGCGCCATTATACTATGTATATTATATGTGTATGCATTTGCATAAGTACACATACAAGTTGCACATTTTAAGTACACGCGTGCCTGTGGGTGTGCGCACAATTTTATAAAAATTTATTTAAAATTATTATTAATAGTTGTGTTGACGTTGTAATGCGCTTTGTGGCATCACCGTTGTGCTGTACTCAGTCGTATATGCATACTTACAATGAAATTGAAAAAAATAAAACATAAAACAAAAGAGAGCATAATAACATCTACAACAACAAGCTGTGAAATAGTGACGGCAAAGGAAAACAAAAACACCTTTAACAACAAACCAGCGATAAAAGCAAACCTTGGTGTCCGAACAAAATATAAATATGAGCGTCAAGGGAAATTTCCATATAACTACATATGTCCATATGTATGTATGTATATACATAGACGTATTTTTGGCAGACAAAGTTGGAGAAGAGTACTCGGCAGTGGGAGTGGTGGTGACTCATGGCCGTTACTCGTTCGTGTTGTTGCATTTAAACTAAGAGTATGCGATACAAAAACAAACAAATAAACATTTCTCGTAAACAACAACGCAACTCCGCTGCAATTGTTGACCAGCAGCTGGCACATACGTATGTATGTATGTATATACTACTTTCACCCATGAACATATTGTATGTGCACTGATAGACTTGTTTTTACGAGGAAGAAGCATCGAAAGCCTGTACACCGTCAGCGTGGGACTTTAACCCAAACTAAACCTCCTTCCGTCCTGTACCGTTTTCCGGAAAGGAGGGTAGAATGTATCACCCTTTTAAGCACAATTCTCCTACTGTTTCTTGGCCCTATAAAAATAAGATAGCATCCTACAAAGCGCAGTATGCATTTTGGAAGCCTTGCTTTGTCATGTATTCAGCATGCGCTCCAAAGTTAAGCGTGTTGTCAATTACCACACCCATATAGCGTATCCGACGTGGTGATATGATTCCGTGCCT